GGAGCCGAGGCCGAGGGACTGTCTCGTCTCGTCTGCCAGGTCTGCCTGTGTGCGTGTGCGCTCAGCGCTGGCGGATCATAGCGCGACTCGCTCGCGAGGAGCAGCTCCGACTCCGTCTCCGAGCAGCCGCGGTGCGGTCGTATGCTGCTCGTGTGTGCCATAGGGGGCCACTGCCGGACACGACACGGACAGGACACGATCACACAGTAGCGCGCGTTCGTTTACAAGATGGCAGACGACGGCCCGTCCGCGGCGGAGGACGCGACCGCGGCGGTGGCAACGGGATTGGGGGACGGTGATTCTCGCGTGACAAGGGAGCGGCACAAACGCGCGGACGCCACCACGCCGATCGTCACTCCGGGGCCGTACCTCACGTCGGAGTGCCAGGAGTGCCAGGAGTGCCAGGACGCCTCCTCATCCGCGAAGCGCGTCGGCGGACACGAGGACGCCTCGAGCAGCGCGTCTCCCTGTGAGGTGGATGATCATCATCGTTCTCACCACGAGCGCCGTCTTCATCATCGTCATCATCAGCATCCTCATCCTCGTCATTCTTACCACCATCATTCATCGTCTCATCATTGTAATCATCACCACTTTAATCCTCATCGTCATCACCTTAATCATTGCGACAACGATCGCGTCAGTGGTGATTCTCCGTCGCCCGTCGACGCGACTGGGCCAACCGCGAGCGACCGGAGCGACGGCGAGGAAGAGAACGGCGGCAATGGCAGTGGTAGTGTCGGCCTGTACCACGACGATGTTAGAATCGAGGTAGTCCGAAGCGTCGTGGCGGAGGACGACCACGACAACGACGACGGGGACGGTGGCAACGGCGGCAGCGTCGATAGTGATAGTGCTGGCAGTAGTAATAGTATTAAAAGTAGTAAAAGTGGTGCTGGTGGTGTTGCCGCGGAAATCATGACCGGTGGTAATAATAATAACAACGCGGGGACGCGCGTCGGTGTCGAGGACGCCGACGGCACGTTATCGTCGTCGTCGACGCGACGCTCGGCACCGAGCGCGGACAGTGCACCGGAAGTGAACGACCGCGAGGATCGCGATGCGGACAGGCGGACTGTGATCATCGCCGTCGCGACGAGAGAGGAGGAGACGAGAGCGACCGAGGACGCGTCGGTATCGGCATCGGCGTCGGCGTCTGCGAAAACGGACAACGCCGGCGTCGCCGTAGCCAGGCACCAGGGTAGCCCGTTCAAGGGACAGGTTAGGATGGCCGAGGACACCCTCGTCGGGCCCTGCGGCAAGAAGCGGTGCGCGGATCGATACGACAGCTCCGAGAGCTCTGACAGGTGAGTGAGCGAGACGATAGAAAGAAGAGAGGCGAATGGGACGGGAGAATGAAAGAGAGAGAGAAAGCGCGCGCGCGCCCGCGCGCGAGGAGAGAGAGAGAGAGAGAGAGAGAGAGAGAGAGAGAAGCAAGAGGGAGGGTACGGTAGGTCTAATAGATTCTCACGAATCGGGAACGTACGAATTCGCGATTCTGAATCGCTCGATCGTACGAGAAACCAATGAATAATGTATTTCCCGCGTACTCCGGAACTCGGGAGCTCCGTGATCTCCATAATACAGGAGCGCGCGACGAATTTCGCTTCGAGAAAAAAAGAGAGAGCTATAATAGCCCGAGACCAGGGAGATTTGTAAACAAAGCGCCGCGTGAAACGATCGCAGTAACAATACCTACGCGTAGACCGCGTTCCGCGAACGAGTAGGTTTTTTTTTCCTCTCGACCCGTTTCGCGAAGCAGACCTTCCTTGCACTTGCACTCGTCGTGAACACGAGCGTCGGTAAAATCAAGTCGAAGAGCTCGCTCTCGATCCGAACTCGCCGCGACTCGATTTCGTTAGCGGTCCGCTTCGCGACGGCATTTCCCGCCCCGAGGAGAGCGTCGGAATTGGCGACAGAGGAGAGCTTCAACGGGGGTCGTTGTACCGCGGTTACGCGACCGACGGCCGTGTCTGCTTTTGCTGCTGCTGCTGCTAGCCGTTCGTTCGATCTCTCTCTCCGTCTCTCTCCCCTTCTTCGCTTATGTGTGCGCGCGTGTATGTGTGTGTTGCCTGCGTGTGCCGTGTGTGTTTATAGGTACGTAGATGCCTGCTATCTTTCGTCTCTCTTTCTCCCGTCTCTCCCGTTTCTCTCACTTGTCCTCTTCTTCGACGCTTCCGTCGGCCGAGCGACTGATTATTTTGGTGCATCGCGCGCGTATATCGAGCGCGTCGCCTACTGTTTTCAGCCGTTCGCTGATTAACGCGTTGCCAACTATAAACAATAGCGTGCCTTTGCATTGCCGAGAATACGATCGAATAACACTGACTTCCTCACATTCCCTATGAAGTAATCATCTTGAGCTTATATCCTGACTTACGTCTTGAATTGTATTAGGTAATATGCACGGAAAGAATGATTTTGTCGAAATTTAATTGGCGATACAGATTTTAATATTTGTGTAAAAAACTCAAGAATGATAAGCAAAAGATAAAGTTATAGAATTTTAGGATGGGGAATGACAGTCCTATAATTATTTTGAAAATTCAACAAAATTTATTTTCAAATCTTATTAAATTTTTAGATCAACAAAACCGTTCTTTCCATGTGTATCGTACGATTTACGCTCGTTTCCACCAGTGAAGATTATTTAACATACGATATAGAGTCGAGAAACTACTAGAAAAGTCATTTCATGATTTAGAAATGGAAAAAAGTAACTATCTAACGTGAGATTGTCTAAAGTATCAACAGATTTCTTTTTTTGATAAACATTATCACCTAAAACTGCCCATTTCAAATGTAGCTAATGAACTGTAATCTCTAACTGAATCTCTAACTGAATTCTTCATCTTTTTCTAATTTTCTAACTTATAAATCTTTAGAACAAGATAGAAAGCACCTAAGTTGAACCGAGATTAGAGTTAATCTACCTTGGAAATGGGCATTAGACGCTGTTAGCGTTTATCAAAAAAAAGAATTTGTCGATATTTTAGAGCGAACATATCAAATGTGTTGTGAGGATTACATTTCACGTTAAATATTTCTTTTCTCCATTTTAACAGTCATGGAGTAATATTGATTGATCGCCAAATGTTTAGTACTTTCGAACATAATTTGCAATTAGAGTTACTCTTTTAAGAGTACACGTACTCTTTTTGAGGTCATAAAACTTCTGGTCATTGATTAAAATTTTATATTTATAAAATTATATTAGTAGGAATTTAATGAATGTTATGTTCGAGAAATTTTATTTCATTAAGCATAAAAAAAAGAAGCATTTCTACATTTATAACGTATAAAAAAATTATACTTTTTTCTTCCGCTCCAAGATTATGTATCTTTTTTAAAAACGTATTTACATGTGTACTCTTTTCTTGTGATTCAAATATCGTAATATGCTATTCGCGAGTTTCTTTATAACTTCTAAAATGTAAAATAAAAAAATTGAATAAAAGAAAAGACATGCTATTTTCCTGAAGTCATTACTTTGCGAAGAGTTAACATCTGCCGCGACTTTCTCGTTTCTTTTTTGTTTTATTCGAAAATCTAATCGTAAAAAAATCGTGATTAAACGGCGGAAGAGCCGCGTCTCTCGAGAGTTTCCGATTAACGGCGTGCCGTTGTTGATCTCGCGGGTTAAGGTGATGCCGATATCTATCCTGTCTACTAACGCGAGGGAAAACGGGTCGCAATAAAAGTTTAGTGTCCTAACGGTGCTCCGCCGTGGTATACTAAACTCTCGACCGCTGTATCTACGTAGAAAGTCCTGGACTCCCTCCTCGAATAACCGCGTTATTGTCCCTCGATACGCGCCGACACGAAACCGATGCGACGGTAGCAACGTCTTCCGGTGCGACTCCACGCGCCAGCTTCCGCGTATCTGTCTTCACGCGAAATCTCACGATCGCTCGACGACGTACTTGTAGGTTGACACATTTTTCGCGATCTTCGTAACTCTGTGCGATGATAGATTCCACATACGTACATACTATATACACGAAAAAAAAACGATTTTGTTGAAGTATCTAAATTTTAGATAGCTACACAGATCTGAAAAAACTTTTGTTGGACTATCATAATAATTATGTAAAAAAACTCAAGCTCGATGCAATGAATAATGCTGCAAAAAATTTTGAACAACGACACTGAGAAAAATGTCTGATGGAAGAATGGACGAACCAGAAAATTCTGATTGTATCAGTCAGAATTCCGGGGAGGTTATCTTAACTAGAATTCCTACTTAAAAAGGTTCTCTAGTCATTTGACATAATATAGGAACTTGATCAAATTTTGAGAATAAATTTGACATAAAAATAGAGGCA